ATCACACAAGTGATTAGTTAAGACAAAGACTTAAAACACACACACACACACAACACACATTAAAATGACAAAAATTACATCGACCAACAACCAAATCCAAAACTCTATTGAGATCATTTTAATGTCTTTTGAGGTCTGAGCTTACTGATACTGTTGTATCATTTGTTCCTCAATCTTAACCTAGTATGTAATTTATTCATGTGGCGTCTCATAATTGTTAGCCTTTGCAATTGGACTGTAATTACTAATGTGCACAAATTTAACATGTTCTTTTTCCTCTCCTAGGACCAATCAGAATATAACTCTACCACCATCAGGAGCCAGACCAACACAGTGGTCATCCGTGGCCTCAAGCCAGGAAGCATCTACGTGTTCCAGGTCCGGGCCCGCACCGTAGCTGGGTTTGGACGCTACAGTGGCAAACTGTACTTCCAGACCATGACTGAGGGTGAGAATTCAGCCAATGTTCACCAAAGCACGCAGAGTTGTTATCACCTCTCATGCGTGGCCTATCAACACACCATGTCGTATAGTATGGATACAGACAGCTGCGGGAATGAAAGGGAATTATGTTGTGAAGTAAACAGTTCAAATACTGCAAAACCAGAATTCAGTGGCCTGAAATTATATTCTTATTTTCATCGTCATGTCTTTTTTAGTGTTACATCCCACACATTATACTATATCATTATTTCATTATTCATATATCAGCATTCAGGATGTATTTTGTTTATGTGGTACGCAAATGTTCTCCACTCTCACTCAGACATCTTTTTGTCATCTTCTGCAAGTCATGGATGAGGTGGAAGCTGCCTTATCTTTGTGCTATGACACGACTGGGAGAACAGGGAACATTCAGTAAACATCAGTCATGTAGGTTAATGTTAGCGCCAAGGCCTGGGTTTTCCCCTCTGAACATCTCATTTCCTCCAGCCTGCAGTGCCCAGGGCCATCATTAGCCTGAACTCTCATACAAACATCCCTGATGCTGCCACACGCACATATCCTAGCACTAAAGATACACCAAAGCTGACTCATAACTGTAAATATTGAGTAAACTAAAGAGATACAGTGCTCATTGTTTTCAGTTTTTACCGAAAAGCATTTTTTAAAGAAATGTAGATCAGTTCAAAGTGATTTTCACCTGGATTGTATGTCCCACAGCACCCAAAATGTTTCCTGCTGCAAGAAGACACTGATTACCATTATTTTAAAGTAAACACTGTACTTTTTTGATGAGCACAGCTCTAAAAATGCTACAAGTGAGGGAAAAATGAACAGAAACGGAAAATGAATCCCTATCAGGGAGCAAAAAATAAAGATTAAACTACAGTGTTTGAAGTTATATATTTTTTTAAATCTGATTATTGTATCAGCTGGATTTTTGTTACATATTTTTATATCAAATGCTATTTATATTATATGTTATATAATATTATTATTCAATATTCAGAATAAACACTTTTTCTCATAATTCTTATTCTTAATCTTATTTTATAGTACTTCTCAGTGGTACCTCAAAATCAAAGCCTGCTGTACTTCAGTGTTATAAACAATACAAATATAAAAGAATATAATAAATCCGCAGTCTGCAGTGCCATCAATACTTAAACTAATCTCTCCAAGGAGTTCACCCTCTCTGGTCAAAGATTACTTTAATCCCCCTATTGAGCATTTATAAGCACTATATAAACATTTCATAAATAGTAATAGTAACTCTATTTTTTTATGTTTAATGTTGTTTACTGCAATACATTTTACACATTTATATTCACATTTATATTTATAAGGATTCAGGATTTGTTTTTCAATTATCTTGCATGGCTACAGAGATCTACTGATCAAAATATTTCTCACTTGATTCTGATACGTGAACTCTGGGTATCTACCAATATGGAAAAGTTTATTAATTATTTGTCAGAAACTTTAACTCCTCCTGTGGGCCTCCATAATTGTAATTATATTAAATATGTCTTTATAGGATAAGTTATAATTGTTAACAAATACTGTACATTAATAAACAGTCACTACATTATAGTGTATTATTAACCCTTTAATAAATGGCCATACAGTGCTTATACATTGGGGGGATTACTAAATCTAATATTTAGGCTATCTAGAAGCACATAACATTGCGGGGAACTCACCAACCCGTGTATCTGGCTGAAACTGTGAGGTCGTGTGTCATTTGCAGTTCTCAAGAGAAGGGTCTGGCTCTGCCTCTGTGTGCCCATTCAGTAGCTGGATTCCTGCTCTTGGCTGCCTGATCAGTCTGGGTCTCACCCAAACATGCTCTCTCTGCTCACTTCACACGCTTTCTGCCAGATGATTTGTCAATATCCGCGGCATCTGAGCACATTCAGTGTGCTTTGGAAAATGGTCCATGCTGCCAGTCAAGATGCCAAGATGCTCATTCGTTCACCCAGCCGTATGTCTGTCTGTCACCCATTGCTCCCTCCATATGCAGTGGCTCAGATGCTTGCCCATATGTTTCAGCTTGTGACTCTGCGTGTGTGTGAGTGTGTGTGTGCATGACACTATGTTTATGTATGTGTTTTTTTCTTTTTACAGAGGAATACAACACCAGTATTCAGGAGAAGCTACCTCTCATCATTGGCTCGGCAGCCGCTGGCTTGGTCTTCCTCATCGCTGTGGTCGTCATCATCATCGTCTGTAACCGGTGAGTCAGTCCTGTCCCGGTCTTTTAAAAAGAGTCTGTAAGCCCCTCGCCAATAAATCAACTGCACAAGCTGGCCAAGTGGACACTTCTCCTTTTTTAGTTGTTGTGCTTTTTTAGTAAGGTTGCATGAGGTCTGTGGCTTGCACTATCGTCTTCTTGTTTACAATTTACACATACTTAAACATTTATGTTTGCCTATCTTTGTTCAGCTTTGTTCTTGTTTTTAGCTTTATGTCTATTTCTGTCTATCTTTTGAAAATTGTTCTTTGAACTCTGTGTTCATTGAGAGCAACAAGAAACCACAGTAAGCTTCCTGGTATGCGTACAAATACTTGGCCAATAAAGCTGATTCTGATTATTACTCTAGACGTGAGATGTGGAGATAAAACCATCTCAAATATATTAATTCGTAATCAATTCCAGGGTTTCAGCAGCAGAAAAAATATATAAAAGTCAACATTGTTAACATTAAAGTTCTGTAGGTGCACCAGCTCAAAGGGTATCAAATGTTTGTAACTCTGCCAAGGTTAGAATTTCACTTCCCACTGGGGCCACTAATATTAAAACTGTAGCTTAGCTCCTGTGCAGTTTGTGTTTTGATTCACAGAAGAATGTATAAGATTAATGTATTCTGCTAGTAGTTTTTTTTTTCTTGGATGGTAGTCAGACTATTTCGCATATATCGATACCTCGCAGTACGACGACCTAATGATACAGGTTATGCTCTACACTGTGGGATACTTCTGGAAGATCACCAGAACGAAATGAAAGAGTGTGTGATTGAGAGTTATGAAAACTGCTGGACAGTCAAATAAATAAAATCTAATACACTGTGAGGGCCCAATCTTAGACCTTAAAACGATATTTTAATATGTCTTTGTCAAGCTGTTTGCCAGTTAAAACTTAGCGGACAGCAACTCCAGCACACACTTGTAATGAAGTCGTGTTTGAAGCTCGTGTTTGAAGCTCGTGCTGAATAAAAACTTTCCCATCAGAAAGAAATATGGTTGATGATTGATTCTGATTTGATTTGTTTTAAATTATTTTGCATGGCTATTGGGGTTGTACCGATCAAAATTCTCTCCCAATGTGGAGTTCATAACCTCGACTGTCGATACCAGTTGATTATGGATTCCTGCTCTGATATCAGTGCTCTCTTTTTCTAAAATTTGAACTCTGTGTAAGTCCCTGCATGGAACTCTTTGGTAACTAATTTTCTGTTTTGGCAGTAGCTGTCTCTGTTGTAATGTTACCAAACTATCCCACAATGAATCACACAACCCACCTCATTAACCCTGTCTAAATGAAAATTGGTGATATTTACGTGCTCACTATGTTTACCTACCAGGGATTTAACTGCCCAACTGGAGTTGTAGCAAATAAACAATTACTTCTCTATCAACAAAGACCTGGCTCTCCATGTGATTTTAGTTGGTGTAGCTTTAGTGTAGGTAGACCTGGGGGTGTTTGATCTGTGTTTCTGCCCCTCCCCGCTCCCTCTCTTTGAACCAGAGCTAGAGTTCTTTGTCTTTCCCCCAGGAGGCGTGGCTTTGACAGGGCTGATTCAGAATACACAGACAAACTGCAGCACTACACCAGCGGCCACAGTGAGTAAACCAACTCTGCCTGCGTTTACCGCTGGTTCCTCCTTCAGCACCACATACACCTGTCTCCATGACTACCATCTCACAGTCATCTCCATGGCTATCATTCAGCTCTCTGCTGCCTCACACACCTGTCTCCATGGCTACCACCTTGCATGCTGGTGTCCTTGGCTACAGCCCAGCACAGCACCTCTTCATTTGCCCGTCCCCCACTTACCAATAATCCTGCCTGTTGTTTGACTCTGCTCACTCGGAGCCTGGATGTAAACACATCAAAACCAGTGTTCAAATGTGTGTTCTGTGCACATTTCATAGTTAACTAAATCCATTGTAGGGGAAATAGGTCAGCCTTCACTCACGTTAACGCCATTAGCATGCTAATGCCATATGAGTTATTTGCCATTGTTAAAAAATTCAAAAGACTTGGTGAATGAATGGAATTTCTCAATGATTTCCGTTCATCACACAGTACGGCAGCGTAGAGCCTAAATGACAATAATGCAGAAATAAATCTGTGAGAAAAGGCTGAGAAGGAATTCCACCATGGCTCCATCTATGATATTAAAGCTAATCCAGCTTTCCACCGCATGATTGGAAAAACACAGATCTTTTTTCATCTTAGGTTTATGACCCCATCTTAATTTGTTTATTTTATAGTGTAATTACCACCCTACTTCATCCTTTTTTATGTTAATTCCGCTCTAAAAGTTATAGCTCTCTCAATATAATCCAATCTACTGTGCAATGGAGTCCAGTTTGTGACTGAGTTAAAAGTGTGCCAGTAAGAGATTCAGGTATTTCACAGCTATTAACAGCAGTAGCCAATGTGTCCTGTGTGCGTCCTGTCCTCACACCAGTCACAGTTCAGGCTTCTGCCCCTGTTTTTGGTGGTCTTTGCCATCATAGGAAGGTGGTCTGTCGAAGAGTGCTTCAGTTTGGGAAGAGATTGTAGGGTTTTAGTAATGGGGGGTTTTGCCTGGTCAGATCCTCTCCATCTGTTCATCTCTGCAGCGCGCTTCATCAACGTAGTGTGCCAGGTTTTGAGGCGGCGTGCATGCGCTTCTAGCTCTGCAGTAGGCCAGGCATGAGTTCAGTATCCATTCAAATAGCCTCAGGCCTGATGTGGAGGTGAGAGCCGAATAATCGGATTTAAAACTCGGGATACTTAAGTCCCTGAACAGTTAAAGGCCACCTTAAGCCAATTTACCTGGCATCAGGGCTTAGGAGAGCCAATTTATTTCTTGGAGTGGAGCTGAGCGATGCTGATATAGGGCCCAGGTTTCTCTAGTGAGTGTTAATGGCACTCTGACTCAAGGAGATGATATATATATTAAGGTGCCTTATCACAGCTAAGAAGACTGGAGGTATCATGTCCTTGCTGGCTGAATAGCTATACACAGTAGCCACGAGGCACTAGTCCTAACCACTACTTCTAACTACACTACCTCCTCCATCTTTCGACCTTCATCACCTGAATGTCATAAAAGAAATCACCTACTTGCACAGGACTGTGCGAAAGTGAAGTGATTGTTAATGTGCTTGAATGCATTTGACTGTCAACCCCTGCAGGACTGTAAGCGTGACCATCGGAATCAAATATTATAGAGGCTCTTTCCTTTTTTCCAAGTGACTCCAGGAATGAAGATTTATATTGATCCGTTCACATATGAGGACCCCAATGAGGCTGTGAGGGAGTTTGCCAAGGAGATTGATATATCCTGTGTGAAGATTGAACAGGTCATTGGTGCAGGTAATGGAAAAATCTGACTGAAACGTGAATGGAATAAAACACTGTAAAATAGCTTGTTTTTAAGTTGATTTCAAAGTACAAATGGATGCACAAAAGCTGCTTACTTTTACTAGCTTCTATGACTGTGAGCTTAATAGAACCATTACTTTTCTCCGCGCAATTTCTTCACAGGAGAATTTGGCGAGGTGTGCAGTGGTAACCTAAAGCTCCCAGGTAAAAGGGAGATGTTTGTGGCCATAAAGACTCTGAAGTCTGGCTACACAGAAAAGCAAAGGCGGGACTTCCTTAGTGAGGCAAGCATCATGGGCCAGTTCGACCACCCCAACGTCATTCACCTGGAGGGCGTGGTCACCAAGAGCAGTCCTGTCATGATCATCACTGAGTTCATGGAGAATGGATCGCTCGACTCCTTCCTCAGAGTAAGTAAACACAACACCTACAACACAACGATTTCAGGAAAACATCTATTTTAGATGTTTTTAAATATTTTCTTTTTTACCAGCATTGCAATTGCAATTCAAATATTCATAAACATATTTGGTTGCTTCATCTCATACTGTAAATGAATGAAGCTGCTTGTCCTCCCAGGCTGTATAGTAATAATGACAAACTGCTAAATCACATTTGACAATGTTGTGATATTAGAGTGACTATACCAACTGCCACTGTTGACATCTCTGCGCTGTAGCTGCTGAGCTAACATTAGCACAGACTGACAGCCTGAGCTGCTTCACTGCTTATCCCAGAGGTCTCAATTCAGAGCTTTTATTGTGATAAGCCTAAGAAAAATGATATGATGATCTTAAAAGTTTAATAGGAGTTTCTGACAGCTCCATCCGTCACTGTCTGTTAAACTCGACAACTGCTGAGCTACCTGCTAGCTACCTGTCAGAAAATGATGAGAGGTAATCACCCCCGCCATGCAAAGAGCATATTATTAACCAGCCGAGATTTGTTTTTTGTTGTTTCACCAACTCACAGAATTAGTTGTCAGTATTGCCAGTGAAATCAACCATTTTTTTCAGGTTTAAACTTTCCTACAGATTAAGACATGGTTAACATTAATTATGTTAACGTATACTTGAAAATGCAGAGATTAATCATTAATCCCTAGTAGTACTTAACTTTAGTTATTCAGACACCAAGAAGAATCCTTGTTGTGAACACACACACACACACCCACCACAACCAACATCACCCACATCACACACACACACATCACACACCACACCTACCACACACACACACAACTCTTGCATGTACACACATTTGTCCAATAATTTGACAAGGTTTATACACTCATGCACAGTAATCCTACTTCAAATAAATGTATTCATTATTAACTGAATCTCACCTGTGTTGTTACAATAGTCAATCACAAGTTCCTTAGAGATGTTCTGTGCTCTATGCAAACCTGCTTCACTATTAACTCTCACAGAATATGTGTTTTTCCCTGGTATAGATTTATTTACTGCTTTTCTCTGGACAGGTCATTTGTTTCTGTTTGATGTGTCCCTTGTTTTGGCTTTGCGCTAGCCACACACATAGTCCACTGCTCATTATGTGGTACTGTATATGGATGCATATGGGAAGCACACACTTATTCTTCCCCGACTGACTCCCCCGAAGAAATAGGCAGTGCTCATAACTTCATGAGATTTTTAATTTTCATCATCTAGCTAGAGAAGGACATTACAGAGAACCGGGCATGCTCCCCCCATTGATGACCGGCATAAATAATTCAAATACTTTGCAAGACTTAAAATGAGATGTCAGATGTTTAAAAATGAAGCCAGCTATGAGATTAGATGTCACACAACCCTTCACCATCTGTCTTGGGATGTTGGTGAAATAAAAACACATTTTTTTCTAATATGACTTTTTTTTTATGATTTCATCCACCCTAATTGCTCTCTTTGCATTTTTGGAATGAGCAGAAAAGGGCCTTTGATTTATGGAAATTGGAAATGTATGATCTTTGCCAAAATTTATTTTTAGTTTAAATTAAATAATAATAATTAAATAAAGATTCAAATGACTTAATGGGAACTCTCTGTATTAATGTGAGTATGTCAGTGAGAATGCCACATTATGAATTCACATTGCCTGAACTAAGCTATGCACTGCAGTATAGCATTGTACAATGGACAGTTGTTATTTTGTGGATACAGATGTGTAGCATATACAGTAAATTATGTAAGCAATTAATAAGAACCATTAAATTTCATGTAAATGACTGTAATTTAAGAATTGAACAGCATTTTTAAATTGCCTGAAAACAGTCTTTACCTCTTTAAACGATTTCCACCGGTTTAATAACCACCCTGACAGTTTAAGCCCTCTACTGCAAGCCTACATCAAAACCATCCTCAAAAAGGAGTCATGCAAGCTCCTGTCAGCACACTGTTCAAACTGGGTTCAGAGTCTTTATTTGCATTCTGCCTCCGACCTCTGAGACACAAAGCATCAGCTCTTTTTGGAATTTGATCTCACGGTGAAGGGTGTTTGTGTATATGTAGATGTTTGCTAAATATATTTGACAGCACATTGTATTCAAAACAACGGGGAACCTCTGCGGCACCTCACGGTGACAGTTTATGACAACAATTGCTGACAGTGTCAAAGTCTGTGAACATGGTTTGTGTATTCTCTGAGGTGATTGGTGGGTAGTTGTTTACAATGGTCACTGCAGTCTGTACTGTCTCTCCTGCTGCCTCCTGCAGAAAAGCCTGCAGGGTAGAGACAGAATAGGAATTGGGACAATAGATCGATCAGAGCTGGACTGGTATCTGGAGCCCACTATAAGCAGAGAAAGTAAAGAGAATGAAAGTTTGTCTTTGATATAAAACCTTATTTTGTATAAATAAATAATGCTAGACCTTGATTCGCACAGTTTTACCAATTCCTAGTTATTTTGTCCACCTTACCTAACCCTAAAGACTTTGGAGGAATCTTTCCAATTAAAGTATATGCAAACACAGCACACAGATTAGGTGGCAATGTGTATTTGTGAGAAGGGTTTCATGAATAATGCATTCTGCTTAATTGCTGTGGTACACGAGGAAGAGCAGCTTGATGTGAGGAGAAGCATCCGCTCGACTAATGAGCAGCAAAGTGTTTGAAAGAGAAATAGGCCAGTGGAGCGGTCATGCAGACTGTTAATATGGCTGTGCTCGGGGGCCCTGCTCTCCTGCCCTTCCAATTCCCTCTATTGGCCTTTCCGTCTGTCCACACCCGTCCCCAAGCTTCTACGCTCCTTTCTCTGGAATCTTCTGTTCTCTGGGCCTCGTGGTGGGTGGTGGGGAGAGTGCAGGTGTGCGCAGTTGGAGGCACAGCTGCACCACTGCTCCAGACGCTCCCCATGCATGGGGTAAAGCCCTCACCAAACCGTGGAGGGGAACAGCTGTAGACAGCCAGCCAGACCCAGCTTAGCCCTGTCCAACCATGCCGAGGCCAGTTGAGCTCAACCCAAACCTCGCTGTTAGTATCCTGCAGGGCTTCTTCACAGAAACTAATACTACAAAGTAACTTTTCTGCATTAGCCACACATGTGGGTTGGGTTACAACTAGACATGTCAACATTAAATGATCATGATTTAACCTAAATCAGTTAAGTGGGAATCAGTTTGCATTATTAATGGCACATTTTGTTAACATGGGGGGCATGGATGATAAATTCGAAAATAATCATTACCCGTGTGTAGACTTTTAAATGTGATTGTAACATTTTTTTTGTTCCCCAACAAAATTTGAGCCTTTAGCCCCAACATTAATGCAGCACAATAACAAGCTTCTTTTTGCATCTTTGCCTCAAATTAGAATATTCAAGTTCATCCTGCTGGCCTGACTATATGCAAATATTCTCAGGCAAGCCAGAATTTTTAGCAGCGCATCTTATTTCTGAACCACTAGATGCAAGAAGGTATCATAACACAATATGTCTGTTTTACAGCAAAACGATGGGCAGTTTACTGTGATCCAGCTCGTTGGTATGCTACGTGGCATCGCCTCAGGCATGAAATACCTGGCTGACATGAACTACGTGCACCGAGACCTTGCTGCCCGAAACATCCTGGTCAACAGTAACCTTGTGTGCAAGGTGTCAGACTTTGGCCTCTCACGCTTCCTGGAGGACGATACATCAGATCCCACTTACACTAGTGCTCTGGTAAGAAAAATTCACATCTTACCTTCCCCTCATGATTAAGCCGGGGTCAAATAAGTTTAGTATATAGTATTGTTTCAATAAGAACTTGTATGACACTATCTGAACTGCACTGATTGAGAAGCCCATTTATCTGGTGCTGCCAGTTGGTTTTATTTGATCCATGACTGACGTACACTACAGTTCACTCCCACACTGCTCTCCCTATCGAGACAAACATCACCCCTTCACCTGTTCTTCCCTTTCTCTTTCTCCAGTATTTCATGAACCACACTTCACTCCCAGGGGTTTTGTTATATCCACCTCCCAGTTTGGATTACCGTCAGCATTGTTGCCGTGAACGGTGTCTCTCTCCAGAGCTAGGACACTGTGACGGTCGGGTTTCGGTCTTGCTTCCCTCACTGAGGTTTTTGGCCTTTGTGTTCACAGGGAGGGAAGATTCCTATCCGATGGACTGCACCCGAAGCTATCCAGTACAGGAAGTTCACCTCTGCTAGTGATGTGTGGAGCTACGGGATCGTCATGTGGGAAGTCATGTCCTACGGAGAAAGGCCTTACTGGGACATGACCAATCAAGATGTATGTATTTAACTTTCCTGAAGTTGTTAAGTCCATTGTCAAATTTCCCTCTTAAACAGTTTTTTGAAACAATGCCTCACTACACATATAAATTTTTTTCTTCTTGAGTTTCATTACAGCCTCAGACTCCTCAGAGATGCATTTTGTCATTGTATCTGCTTTCCCTTAGCTAAAGAGCAGCTTTCACTCGTGGGTTTTATATGAAAATTCCCCCACACTCACCACAGAGACATAATCAGATCATTTGAAATGCACGGCAGTGCTCAGTGGACAATTTCTGCTCTTGACTGGAGCCTCCATTTCCTATCTCCCCCTGGGTAGCGGAGGAGAGAGCAAATTATGGGGAGAGAGATAATGAAAATAGTTTCAAATTGAAAGTGAGAACACTAATGTGCTAAGAGGGACTGAGGACCTCAACGGTTATCTTATTAGCAGCTCCAGATAGTGTTTCTGCTCCATCGGGGTGCTCGTTTGGAGGTCTCATGAATGAGATTAATCTGGGTTTGAATGGAGCTGCTTTAATGGCTCTGGTAATGAGCAGGGGATTGTGCGTCCTCGTCACAAGTGTCCTTCGGGTTGTCTCACTCTGTTAACCATGCACCACCTCTGCGTGCCCCCCGACCAAGAGCATCACCGGCCGAGTCAGACGTTTAATGTGGCTTTACAGAGAGAGAGAGCATTAAATACTTTGTAAAGGCTAGAGATGAGGTCACTGCTGGCAGAAATGTGAAGTTGGTGGAATAAGTTTATGTTCTTAATGACCTAACAGCTGTTTAAGAACTCTTCACATGAAGAACTAATGTGGTGATTTGTGCACACATATTTATATTTATCGTTTATATTTATTTATGTTTAAGTAATAACTATAATTTAACAGTTTTGACTCAGAAGCAGTAACACTCACAGTAATGACGACAACAGTTGTTTTCACCACATGGTGAGAGGCACAGATGCTCTTGTTCATCAGAAGACCAGCATTAGTGCAAATATTTTTTCCTTATTAGACCTGATTATTGTGAATTTACCTAAATTATCCAAAAAGATAACATATTTATTACACACTCATGGCCTTTGTTGGTAGGACAGGGCTTATATAACCTGAGAGGATGTTTATCTTCTAGAGCATAGTGGAAAGGAATTCGGTACATTTAGTCAAGGACTGTAGTTTGAGGTACTTGTCCATTGTATGCTTTTTTATATTTCTGTGGTACATTTTTCATACATTTTTCTCCACTACATTTATCTGACAGCCAAAGTTACTAGTAACCAAGGTACTACGATTTAAGATGATAAAATTCAGAAAAAATATTGTTATAGATGAAATGTGTGGTTCCCAATCTTTTTAGTTTGTGACCCCTTACAAGAGAAGTGAGTTGTTAGCATTAGAGTTACATTTGCCCCTTCTTCCCACATGCTTTCATTTGAATAAAATATGAGGGTCCAATATTTTTTACAGAACAAGCAAAGCTTGTTCTTCTGATTTATTGTGTGAGCAATCTGACTGTATATAAAGTATTTAGAGCTCTTTACCAATAGTAAAATGCTACTGGCGCTTTGATACATCACTATTAACAATCTAATAATCTAATATACAATAATACATCAGTCACAAGGGCCATTGTTGCATAACACGTACTTTTACTTTTGATATGTAAAAGGTCACAATTGTTTGCAAATGCTTTTAGGTGTAGAATTTTTAATGCAGGACTTCTACTTGTTATGCAAAGCTTTTTCACTGTTGTATTGGTACTTTTACTTAAGTAAAGGATCTGAATACTTCTTCCACAACTGGATCGTACACTCTCTCCTTTTTTGTAGAGCCTCATAGCAACCCTTAGAGATCTGTGTCTCCCCCTGCAGGTCATCAATGCCATAGAACAGGACTACCGGCTTCCCCCACCCATGGACTGCCCAAGTGCGCTGCACCAGCTCATGTTGGACTGCTGGCAAAAAGACCGCAACAATCGGCCCAAGTTTAGTCAGATTGTCAACAACCTTGACAAGATGATCCGCAATCCCAACACACTGAAGGCCATGACCCCGTTATCTTCAGGGTGAGTGGCAGGAAGGCTGTTGATTTAAATTAAATTTGTTTTATGTGCTTTATTTGTCTTTGCATTGTCTGCCAGTGATGTTAGCCATAACATATGCTGTAGACTACTGTTAAGTGTATATTCTTCTCTTTTCCTTTCTGTGCCCTTCACTCTGTGTGCGGTATCTGCATGTGTGTTTTATCTCATCCCTGTAGGCATCCCACAAGACAGGCCTTTGGTTTTAGCATCATTTCACATTGATGTGGATAACATCTAGAACAATATTATGCATCTGATTGTCTCTCAATGTAAAGGCTTTCCTCTTCCTGGACACAGGAAATTCATACTCCTGCTGCAGTGCCATCCATGGCACAGTTCACTTTTTTCCGAACACAGTGTCTCTTGTTTCTCCTGGCGCCGAGCGGTTATGTAAATTAAAGCCTTTTGGTTTGATAGATCAAATCCTTCCCACGAACGCTTTGGGCGAAAACCTGGATTGAAGCAGTTGTGCAATTTTCAAAACAAAACATTTTGAAGCGTTTCTGCTCTGGGTGTTAGTTTCCTTTGAGAGCCAGGGTTTACTGATTTCCATTATCCCTGTCTGTACTTTCATTTGTGGTGGAGTGCAGGACCGAGGGCCAGATTTTCCACAGACACTGAGTGGATATATTGGCTCCCTGAAGCCTATCACTTCATTTGGAAAATATACTTTATGAAGAATCAGTTTGGAAAATTTTGGTTCATGGATAAGGCCAGTGGAATTCTCTAAGTTCTGTCTAGCCTTTTGAAAATGTAATGTAATCATTCGTGTTTGAATCATACGCAGGTGGTCTGGGTTGACTATGATGTTAGGCCTGCCACTTTTTATTATCATTATTACTAATGGCTCCTGCTTGTGTCCCCCCTCAGTGTTCATCTCCCTCTCCTGGACCGCAGCATCCCAGACTTCTCCAGCTTCAGCACTGTGGACGAGTGGCTGGATGCCATCAAGATGGGCCAGTACAAAGACAATTTTGCCAACGCTGACTATACTACATTTGATGTGGTGTCCCAGATGACCATGGAGTAAGTGCTGATGATTTCTGCCATTCTGGGATAAGAAGCATAAGGAAAACGATATCATGAGTCCGGTTTACTGAGCCCTGTATATCCCCAAAACCTGAACGAGCACCAGACTCTGCTTCTGGCCCGTTATAAAAGACGTCAGCTGCTCTGCATGTAATTAGCAGATCGTAATACTGCAGTTGCGAGGCTGAACAGTGGACACAATAGCTGGGAGCCATAACAGTGCCCTTTATTCTCTGCCATGTGTTCAACAGGCCTGTTTTTGACCTCAGTTTAAGGATTGAGAGGAAGTATCGTAATATGGGGTAGGAGAAATTGAGAAAAATCATCTTGACAGACAAGATCATGTTAAGAATGCCACCCGTGGAGAAACAGATAAAATCATTTCCTGTCAGCTACGGATAACAGTATCACGAGCCAGAGATTAACCCGCAGAGATGATGAGCTTCAATTCTTGAACAAAACAGATGGTAACATGTAATCCAATAAGCATGATTACTGTTGAAATTCAGAATCAGGAGAGAGTAATTTCATTGTCTTGTGGATAAGAAACAGTTCGATAAACAGTGAGTAAATTATCATGTTTGGAGCTGATGTCACTGCCGAGATACAAAGTGGAACTTCCTGTTTATTTTGGAATTAAAAAAAAACACATGACCTCTGCAATGAATGTTGTGTGTACAATATACTTGAGTTGACTTGAGTTGAGATGTTGTGAATTTGTAATTCTTGGCATTTGTTTTGGTGGTATGAGATGGGAGGGGTTCACCACATCAGATAGGAAGTTAGTCAGTCACAGAAAAATACCCTAAACTGGCATTCAAACATTCTTATGTGATTATATAAGCTCTCTGGCCTCAGAGATGGATGCGCACGCAGCTGTTTCTCTGGAAAATGACAATGTTTCATGCCTGTTACTTTACTGTCATTTCAGTTTTTATATACCGTGAATATATGTTGTTTTTTTCAGCTGTTTCTCTTCTGCTTGCCCTTTTGTTATACCTCCATATGTTATGTTGTAGACAGACAGATAGATAGATAGATAGATAGATAGAATAGATAGATAGATAGATAGATAGATAGATAGATAGATAGATAGATAGATATATAGATAGATAGATAGATAGATAGATAGATAGAGACGGACAGACAGAGAGAGATTCTTCAGAACTGTTTTTCATGGGAGTTCATATCAATGCAATGATCCTGGGAGATGGTGAATCAGCTGTGGGTTTATGTATACAGCCACTAAATGATATCAGCAGTGCTGGGCTCCGCTCCGAGACCTGACAGCCAGACATGGACGTAGTTCGATAACACAGTGAGTAAATTTCATGTTTTGGAGCTGATGCCACTGCGAGATACAAAGTGGAACTTCCTGTTTTAGACAGGACAGACGTCCAGCTGTGAGCCATCGGTGAGATTGTCCGATCACAGCGGGGTGGGCCCGCACTCCGATCACAGCCACTCCGTCCAGGCACTGATTCTATCTCTCCCTCCCCTTGATCACCTACATGCCTGTCAGCCACCTGTCTGCTGCTCCCACTGATCTCCACATAGATAGAGATAGGATAGATAGATAGATAGATAGATAGATAGATAGATAGAAGATAGATAGATAGATAGATAGATAGATAGATAGATAGATAGATAGATAGATAGAGATGGACAGACAGAGAGGAGATTCTTTCAAGAACTGTTTATAGTCTGTGGTAAGATTAGTCTGACATCTGCTTCTGTCTCTCCTCACAGGGACATCCTGAGGGTTGGTGTGACGTTAGCAGGCCATCAAAAGAAGATCCTCAACAGCGTCCAGATGATGCGGGCACAGATGAACCAGATCCAGTCAGTGGAGGTTTGACCCTCCCGAGCGGAGCAGAGGGGGAAAAAAAAGTCGTTTGGGATGCAGGGCTCTGGGTGTGGAGGATGGAGTGGATGTTTTTTCGCGTTACAGTGTGTCTGGTCTTCCCACCAGACTACCATTCATCCCCCGTTCACCTCTCCACTTCCCTCTCTCCTCCTCTTATCCACTCACCCTGACTCTCCCTCCATCCTTGGGATCAGCTGTGGAGAGTTGTGGAAACAAAAGTCTGTGTAATGAGGCGTCAGAGGGCCCACAGCCAACCCACCTTTGGAGCTTGAAACATGGGAGGTTAGAAGTGACCAGCAACACATTTTTCAATCTTCCACCAATTTTCATTTGATGTTGAACATTTATTTTTTTGGTTTGTTTGTTCTGATAATTTTGTAAAGAATTTTTTAAAGAAAAAAAAGAAAAAACTGAGAAAAGGCACGGAGTTTATCTAAATTTATAGATGATATAAGGTTGTACACTAGATGAACTGAGTAGGAAAGATACCCTTTAAAAGGGCCAAAAAAAGAAAAAAAAGAAAAAGAGGAGTTGAGGAGACGAGGCCATCCTCAACAAGGTGTGGATAATGTCTTTGTTGTTTTTAATTTTGGACATCATGAGTAAACACAGAGTTCTCTGTGGCCCTCTAAAAGGCAAACTGCAGAGGAGACTAAGGGACCCGACGTGCACTCCCAACTGTTTCCCCAGGAGAGAAAATAAATTAAAAAACCATGAAATGGACATATTTTGGCATAGACTGATGTCGAAAACACCTTCACAGTGAAATCAACACTCAAGAAAAAGAAAAAAAATTTTTTTTTTCTCATTGCAAGTAATTTTTCTATATTGTGTAAAATCTTGTGATGAAGATTCCGTCTCACCATGCTTCCTCTCACTATAAACAAAAAAAGTTGTTTTTTTTCTTTCACAGTGAAATACTCACAGCTTGCCAAATAGAACTCTTCCCTTTTTGCACCCCAATCATGATCCTGTACTGTACATATCAGATGCACTTGACCTGCCACAACGCGATGACTCAGAAACAGTTACGACCGGTCAGTTCAGCTGACCGCAGGGAGGGTTTAAGTTGTTGTCACAATCAGTTTCTTTTCTTATTCTGTGAAACAATAATAGTTTGTGGAGAAAAAAAACTTCCTACATAGGTTCACACAAAAAGAAACAGGTTCTACTGTTTACATCAGAGTCCACACAGTATGTCCTGTTATAGCATCCTCCTTCACGTTGTTCATCTCCAATGCCGTCTGTGCACATATTGCACGTGCATACCACATGCACAAAGAACCAGTGGCTCCCGTTGGGATTTGTGTTTGATAGCATGCTGAGTGAGTGGTTAATTTCACAGTGCTTTGATTTGCTGCAATTACTAGAACTCTGTTTGGTAAGAGCTTGGATTTGACACACTTTACAGATTATAATGTGGCTGCATTATATTCAGTGTTTCTTCTTCTTCCAGTTTTTCTTTTTTGAAAAGACATTTTTATGTTTAAAATATAAAGTTTTGATACCACACATGGTTATTTTACACACACACAGTCATGAATAGACTTTACAATCAGGCGTTTGTTGAATTTAAAACAAAAATGCAGCGTGTTATATTTTTGCAATTTCTGTATGGATATTATTGAATTGTTATTATTATCACTTTTAGTTTTTTTTTTTTTCTGCACTGAGTCGACTGACTCCAACAAACACTCTGAATCTTCCATCAATGCTTAGAAATTTATTTTTAAACATGAATCATGTTGGTGCACAAAACCATGTAGATAAACGGCATTTCCCTGTAACAGGTTTTGATTTCATTTTATAGACAGTATATGCATTTATTTTATGGTTTCCTGTGAACAATACTGTCTGATGAGTACAGAGCTGTCAGTCATCGTTTGTGTTGTTATCTGTAACCTGGCGTGAGGGTTGTGAGGGGAAAGATGGAGTTCATAGCAATGCAATGATCCCCTGGAGATGGTGAATCAGCTGTGGGTTTATGTATACAGCCACTAAATGATATCAGCAGTGCTGGGCTCCGCTCCGAGACCTGACAGCCAGACATGGACGTCCAGCTGTGAGCCATCGGTGAGATGTGTCCGATCACAGCGGGGTGGGCCGCACTCCGATCACAGCCACTCCGTCCAGGCACTGATTCTCTCTCTCTCCCCTTGATCACATACATGCCTGTCAGCCACCTGTCTGCCGCTCCCACTGATCTCCACACAGTCGGCGTTCAGCAGTTGTCTGGTTTTGTCTCGGCGAGTTTAAAAAGAACCAACAGCAGCAGGCGAACTGACACTCATCAGTGGGGCAGTTGTGTCTTGTCTTGTCCTGATGCTGCATGCCTTTGTGTATGTGGAAAAGATTCCTCCGGACCGGATGGACAGTGCTGCCATGTTTGTTTGTACCAAATTCTCAGACTTGACCTGAGTTTTTGTGGCGTCACTGCAGACTGCTTTAGCACCAAAGCTCTGGGTAAAGAAAGTGAGAAACCTCATTTATTGCACCCCTGTCATCTTACCTTTCATTATCCCAGGCTGTCCAGAGAATTTAAGACCAGGAGTGGAGGGATTTTTATTCTCTTTCTGCTCCATAATCCTCTCCTTGGTTATTTTCAGTGCAACACATCAGAACGAATATTTCCCTGGAAGCTTTTATAACATATGAAACTGGAGGAGGAAAATCATGAGCTGTTAGTCATAGCAAAGAGGCGAGTGAGAAGTGATGCTGTGACCTAAATGCCACCGATGCCAACATGCAGTTTGCTTTTTAACTGAGCTTTAGACTGTCTTCCTTTTCCATTTCTCAATACTTAACAGCTCATCAGTTTTATGTTGTGAGGCTGTACATCTTCTCATGGTGCTGCAAATATTCCATCGTCAGGAAAAACACTTAATGTTGTTCGAGAAATTAATCTAAAGTATACACAAGGCGGGTGAGTTTCTGCTGCGGCCCCATTAAAGCTCATTCAGATGCTTGTCCATGGACGCTGCCAAGACTTTGAGTTATTAATCAAGCAATTATCCTTGAACTTTGCTTGAAGGAACTTCCTTAAACAGGGTGGGCAGACATACTTATTGCTAGACATTAAATAGTGCTGAAGTTGACTTTATGTTGCATACTGTCAGTATTTTCTTGCCGCTCAGAGAATACTTTTAGCCGAACTCCTTCTAAAGGGTTAGTTGTTTTCCATTTCATTTAAAGGAGTTTAAGAAGACCCTTTGATTGAATGTGGAGTGTTTGAAAGCACTGCATGAAGTATTTATGTATCTTATGATTTTGATGGCACAAAAGAGACGTATTGTTACAGTTCAAGCTGAGCAATGATAGTGGAAGAAGAAATTGACGCACTTATGTCAAGTGTTTCAAGTGATTTTGCCTTCTTTTTCAACAGCAGACTGGCTGCTTTCTTTACACCAAAGCCCAAGCTGTGAAAAAAAGCCCTGATATCCAAATTATAGACTGTTGAAAAATGTATAGAAACAAAGTTACTAATTCATCTGGCACAGTTTTTATGGAGGGATATTTCTGAAATAAATTCTATGTGGTGATTATTCTTTTATCACCTCTCTGAAAACGAAATATTTAATTTAAGTGAAATTATTGTCCATTTCCGTAAATATTTTTCGCAGTACAGAAGTGTCGGATATATCTGAATATCAGATCACTGGGAAATTTAAATCCACTGTATGTCTTTGTATATACAGAACGGTATTTGTGTCCTTTATGTTTAATTCACTTGCTTATTTCCCCTTTAAAGCAGTTGTTTTCTGCTGTTTCACTTTCCAGAAACAATATGTATTATTTAACTTTTCAGATGTAGTTTTATTGTAGAATTTTACAGCACCAAAAATATGCCATCTACACATGCAGACTCCAGCTTCTCAAGTTATAGAACTTTTTACAGTTTTCCTCTGGAAATTGAAGTAGATGCAGCGTGGTTGTGATGGTTTCACACAACGTTTGCCTACAGCAGCTTTCAGCAAAACATACTGTACTTTCTCCTTTTACATCTGTGAAGCAAAGTAAAAACCAGTCCTGCCCTCACCGTGTGCCAATTTTTGAAGGACGGAGGAAAACCGTTAAGTCTCAGTGTTACTGTTACATGATAGTGTGCATAAACACGAGCTGTGCCAGGTTGTACCCACTGGGCTGCGTTTGAACGCCGCCCAACTACAGTATGGTCAGAGTGAGAGGTCTGCCTCCTGTTGTGCAGGACAGAAAATGGCTCCTGTTTAATGGATGCAGCCCGAAGCACCAGAGCGCCCTCTGCTGCTGTGGTGGTCAAATGTAGCTTGTTGGATTGACATTTTCAGGTGCAGATAGTCTGTGAATGTTGCAGCAGGCAGAGCTCCAGTGTTCGGGACACGTCAGCAGGCTGCTGATGGACAAACACTGGCTGCTGCTCAGAACAAGCCTGTGTCTTTCCCTCTGTTGGACAGACTTTCATACCACTACGGCACCCTGCCACCTGTGTTCCCCTATATGACCCTGCTACCCTCTGTTACCCGCCTCCCCCTCCCACTCCCACTCTGGCTGTTGGCTAGTACAGGCGCGGGATCATCACGAGTTCCCCAGTCCTTTAAGCCCACATTATAGACCAGTGCCGGTTCAGACCACTGTGACTGATGTGGGACATCCTGTATTTCTGTATAAATGTATATTGACTGTAACCCTGTGAATGATGTAACAATTTCATTATTTGTAATATTGTCATTGGTTTATTTTCTAAAAATGGAAAGCCCAACTTGACTCTCCTCAATAAAAAATAAGATCTGTTATAAAACAGTGAAGAGTAGTTTGTTCATTATTTGTTCATTCAAAACTTTTCATGTTTTTTTAATCTTTTATTTTCTTGTTACAGTGGCGATACGGGCTGTATATTTTACAATGGTGAATAAACATGAGCATAATGTTTTGCGTAAAACTAATGTTTGGTAACAATAAATAATTAAATGTTAAACAAAAATGTGAATTAGTTGAAACATATTTTATGATTTAATTTTAAAGCACTTGAAGATGATAATGTTACTGATGACTGGAATTTGTTTTATTATACGAGGTAAAATGTACATATTATTTTTAGTAATAGGCAAAATGCAGCAATCTGCATAATTGGTCAAAAACAGAATTGACCTTTTTGACTGTTTTACTATATAAAATAAACCTATGAAATGTATAATTTCTGTGAAAACAACAGTTTATATTTGGAGGAGCTGCAATACAGACGTGGAAGCTATAAGCCTCTCACTCTTTTTGGAAATCTGTAGACTATAAATCAATGTGGCACTTATTTCCCTCTTTGCCACAGAGAAATAGCTAAAGCAAGGGGTATGACTAGTCTCAATTAAAGCTAAAAAACAAATTAGCCCAACCATTCCCTGAGTTTACATGTAAATGTAATTGATTTTGATGAAATGACATCATGGTGAAATGAGTTAGTAATTCCAGATAACTTACATGAGGCTCAATCAATCCAAAAGCTAAATTCCTGCTGAAGTCGACTGCCTCAGCGGATCTCAGTAGGTTTCTGAGCTAGTGACAGTAGCTGCCATTTTAGATTTTACTCTAATGGGATTCACCTTTATTTAACATATTTAAATTATGAAATAAAATAATTAAATTGTAAATTATATCCCATTCTGTAAAGAAGAAAACTTTCATTTTATTATTTCATTTTAGTTTTAACAAACTAGTTAAAATGGACAATAAAGCAGATTTTTATGTATTTTCTGAGGATTGTCCAAAGTGAAAGTGTAGTAACTTCTTTTTTTAGGTATTATGCAGGTTCTAGGGATTTTTTGGGGGGGAAATAATCAATCTTAGAATAAAATGAAGGCATGGCTATCTGAGGGAATTTGAAAACTTTAAACCCACTCCACTGCATCTGCAGTTACTGGTCCCTGCCTTTATATATTAAATTTTTGTATCAAAATTAATTAAAAAAAACTTTTTAAAAGTACTACAACTATTATAAGCAGGACATTTGTTTCCATCTAGCATTCAAATTAGGCTTCCAAATATCACTCAACGGGCCATTCCTCTAGCTACACAATGTTTGAAAAATGTAAGCTACAGCTTACACATTTCTTGAGTAAATAATTCAATGAATTACAAACATGAATTTAATCAGGATCCATAAATGCCACAGCGTGTGTAGCATGCATCATATTAGACTCACCAAAAAGCGCTGCAGATAATTTTTTGGTCAAATTGAGCATTTGAGCGAGCCTCACTTCTCTCAGTGTATCCCCCAGAGCCAGACTCCTGCACATTGTTCTGTGGTTTTATGTCAGAAGTGATTTGACCAACAGTGCTGCCGTCTCTCCACAGCTCAGTTTCTCGAGTGGAGGTCAGACACCCTTCACCTTGCTCTGAGATTTTGAAACCTCATTAGCGGCCGACGTGTGAAAGGCTGGAGACCTCAGCCTGACCCGGCGGAGAATGGCGCGTGTGTTAAACGGTTTACTCCATGAGCAGGAAAGGAGGAGTTCAGGAGTTCAGTAGAGGGAGGACCCCGCTGGCACACCAAACCCTTTCTACTTCTAGTCTCGACCACCCATAAGTCTCCCCACCTTCTTACACCTTGATGACTCGGGGCCCAGCACGGCCCGAGCATGGGAACAAACCGGGAGAGCCTTGTCATTTGAGCTCTGAGGGTCATAATGTACAACTGGGGGAGGAAAAGAGTGTGTGAGGGAGATTAGAGAGTGTTATGTGACTGATTAAATGTCAAACAGTAGCAATATTTTCAGGTAGTGAATTTTCAGAAGCTCCAAACTCATCTTCTCATTTTGAGAACATGTCTGATAAAAGGTGTGCTTGTGTTGGAGGAAGGTAGGCAGAGACTTTTTGTTGTGGTCTGAATGACGGTCGAGTGTGGAAGAGGGATTTGTAGAGGTACCATCTCTTCTGCATGCATCCCATAATTCATTGCTACAGCCCGACATCCATCACATTCTGCCCTCCTTTGAGCCTGAAGAGTACAAACAAATAACGGAATAAAATCAATGATCATACTAGCGAAGATGATTCAGTGTTTGGGGCATCCTGGTGAATTATGGTCAGTGGTAGAAAGTAACTAAGTATATTTACTCAAATACTGTACTTAAGTACAATTTTGAGGTATTTGTACTTTACTGGATTATTTTCATTCTCTGCTGCTTAATACACTATTGTGCCTTTTTTAATGTAATTAAAAAAATATGATGTAATGATCACTAAGAGCTAACTTAATTGATCCCCAGGGGGAAATT